GCCTGCACAAAAAATCAACAAAAAGTGTTTAAATTTTGCTACAGCAGTACTTGGGTGGAGCGAAAAACAAATTTCGAAACATTAGATCTCCGATTTTAGAATACCTATTGTCATCATTACACTGCCTACTTTTCCCAATATGGTTTCCAATGATCTTTCTTCTTTTTTGTTTTCCTAACTTCTTCTCCAGTTACCTTCTCCTACTTTCTCTACATTCTACATTTTCTAGCTTCTCCAATCTTCTGCTCCTAGTAATCTTAATCAATAATCTGCAAGCGTGCAAAAATTGTTGCAGTTTTTCAAAAACGATTTTTTTGCAGATTGATTCCCAAACTGAGTAATGAACGGTCTCGCCGATTTCCATCATGTCGAGTTCCGAGTTTCAAATGCTCTTCAGGTGTGGTCTTTTGTTTGGCATTTATCTCGCAGCATACATGGCCAAAATGATTTTTTTGTTGTTTACGATTCCATACAGTCTTGTCAGTTGCAGCAGTTCCGTAGCCTTTCAAAGTTGTTTTGAAATGAGCGGGATTGGTACTTGTAGTGATACTTGTAGTGAAGTATCGCATCATTAATTGGTCATCAATTTTCCTGTTATCAGTAATTGATGACCAATTAATGATGCGATACTTCACTACAAGTAAGTGATCCCTGTTAATTGTAGCGTCAGTTAGTGTGTAATGGTGCAAAGTCACATCACAGTAATGTGCCAAAACATAGTCAGTGAGATCCCCTCCCGCAAACGTCTCTCCCGGTACGCCCCTTCTCAAAACCTACCTCCATTCTCGCCAACTTTCCTCCAAAAACTTGTCGTGTCGTCAGGCGGGATATGGGAATGGCAGACATCCCTGACCAACAAGATCATTCAGAAGCACTGGTTTTGCCGGGAGCAGCAGCTATGGAATGAAGTGTGGACGGAAAAAATTCTAGTACAAGTGTAATCGTGTGAAGCGGTCCTCAAGTAACCAGGAGCTATAGGTTGCCCCATTCTCTCATCCCTCCTTGAAATTTCTTCCACCACCTTGTAGTTCCAAGTGAAAACTAGTTGCGAATAATGAGTTACTACTCATCAGCACTACATTTGTAGTAACTGCTAGCTGGGTGAAACCCCTATACAGATCTACTAGTTGCAGTCAACCTTTCGTCTATCGTTGGGATCGGCATTCCTGGAATGACCTTCTCAAAGACGGGGACGATACTACTTGATCTAAAGCCGGGCTATTATTTTTTCTTAAAGCCAGCTGCATGTTCCTGTTATTCGAGAACTAGTAGCACTGAAATTGGCTGGCCCCCGTCATAATTTGCGTGAGACTGAGAGTGCGGGCGCGGGGAAAATATAAGTGGTGGAGGTCGGATCTCAAAAAGGAGAGTGCAATGTCAGGCGATTTATACCTCTCATAATGCTATAATAGTGATATCGGGTCGCAATCATATCAGGTTCGGTGAGAAGGCGTGGAAGAGCAGGGCCCAAACTGGCTGGTATTTACCAATAGTAATCGCCGTTCAGAGACAAATTGACTCTGTAGAAACGCGACAGACAGCGTCATTCCATGTCACTTGGCACCTTGCATACCTTGATTCGATTTTGGGGATGATTTTGATTGCAATTTTATAGTCGGACTAATAAAACAAATGGATAGTGGTATTCTAGTCAGTTATTCATATTTATTTATTTATTTATTGCATGCACCATAGGCACATGAAGTAACATGAAGCGACTACAAATCCAAAAAAGCTAACTGACAAAAGTGACCTTGCAAAATTCAGAACTCGATGTAATAATTAATAAATAAAATTCCACGGTGAAAGGGAAGCAACGTAAGTAGTGTAACTCGGAAACTTTGCCCAACTCCTTCAAGTATCAACGTAGTTTCAGAAATGAGATTAGTCCGTAGTAGCCCTCAAGTCAAATGTTGATGCAGAATCTTTTTTAGCTGAGCTAAGTTCCCAGGCATACTGTGTTTTTTCGAAAACTTCGCGAATTTTGGATCAAAGCCTGTAAACTAAAAAACTTGGCTCTAATATTAGACTTAGCTCTAGAATACGCAAGTTTAACTTGTCACCACGAGAGTCGGGCGGACATGAGGGTGAAAGTTGGCACGCAAATTTTACCACAGACTTTCCTACATGGTTATTGAGTCCTCTTTCTTCTTTCTACAGAGTTAAAGCGATAAGCGCAAGCCATTTTATTTTCTTATGACACTTATTGGTATAGATATGTGAATGAGACCCAAAGCCCGAGTCAAAACCGTTTTTTGTTTGAAAACATTTTTTGGCACAGATTCCAGTCTAGAAATGCGTCCTCTTCATATGGAGGAAAGAGTACAACAGAGCCATAACTCTAGTCGTGATACGATATAAGTCCTGCTAAGTCTTCTCAGTAACTGGTACAGTCTCTTCTCCGCTCTATTAGCTATCGATATGCAGTGGGAATGGAACTCCAATTTATGGTCGACGATGAAGCCTAAGTCCCTTACTTCCTTAACCTTTTTTGAGTTGCGAGCCGTCAATATTGTAATCGAAGTTAATCCGGGAGGAACCTAAGTGCAAAACTGAGGTTTTATCATATGCTAGAGGCAGATCCCATGATTTAGACCAACTGGCAACGGCATCAATGGCGTCCTGTAATAATTTGCAATCACTTTCAGCAGTTAGGGACTTATAGATTTTCAAATCATCGGCAAAAACCTTACATGTAACCCCAATAAACCCAATGTAACCCCAATAAATAAATATAAACCTGATGTCTGTAGAGCTCATCACCTTGCTTTTCTATGAGCGTCAACTAGTGATGCCTTCACCGGTCATAAAGCTCATGGTCTGCGATTTCTTTGAAAGCAGTTTTTAAGCTCATCGCTGGTGCTGGAGCAGCAGAGGGCTCGAAAAGCTGGGAGCAGCACCGAGAACCTCTTTCAGCATCAACGAGAACTCTGCAGAGATATTAGTACGTTCTAATTGATATAACGATTTTTTTTAATTTCAGACATCGTTTTGGTACTGTTGTTGTTTTGGATTCAAAAGATTCGCCATGAAGCAGGATGGGACCACAACATGCATAGCTATACGAAATGGCCGGGTAAGAGTTAATTGACTGTTTCTAATTGCTAATTGCTAATTGCTAAGAAGATTTTACAAAGTTCATTTGTGTAGGTTATATTTGTAATGAAATCGTCCACCTCTCACGACCCAGAAAATGCGCAGCAACTGCTCGTGCATGGCGATGCCGTGAAAGATGTGGCATTTCGTGTGGATTCTATAGACGCCCTACAGAAGGTACTAATTTTATACTATTTAAAGGCACTATAAAATGTCAAACTAAATCATTGCGACTATTAATTTTGCTCCTCCTGTCGCAATGTGGCGCTTTTTCTGAGGAATTCAGACACTGCCTTGATAAGAGAGATTGTCATCATGGGCGCTGCCAATCCGAATTTCTTTGATAGTTGACCTCCACGAAATCGCTCTTTTCTTATCTCCAAGCACATGTCAACGTTTACTAATATTATTGACAGCTGAATAGCAGAGTTTGCAAAAATTCACTGGGACTCAAGGAAAATAAGTGATTAGTGAGTTGAGCTCTGTTTGGTCGTGAAGTCTGTTCTTTTGGGAAAAAAAGGTGCTAGATGAGTTTTTCTGATAGCTAGCTCCAGCCATCGGCTCGTACTTGAGCAGTACCAGTTAGGCCACCCGCAAATACGACCTCCCCATCCCGTGCCCTCCGATGGGAGTCTCCCGCGTTGTGAATAGCGTGTGTGAAATAGGACAAATTAGATAGAAAAAATTTCTCAGGACAAATACAAGCTTTGTCTCCCTCCAGCCACTAAACACGACCTTCTCGCCAGGGATTCTCCAGAATACGGCGTGCCTTGTTCCGCACTTCGCGCACGCCCCAAGCCTAGAATGGGGAAGGGCATCCTGTAACGGCTTCGGTTACAGTGACAGCAATTCACCGACTGCGAATCCCTTTTATGTCGCTACTGCCTGCTATGGTCCATTTTAGAGATGTGTACCATCGGCTCAGTTTCATTAGTGACTGAGTTACTTGTACTGAATGGTCATATACATGGTGGGATGAGCACTGATTTTCTGCATTATTTAAGCGGCTTGTCGAGAACGGTGTGGATATTCTGCTCCCGAAAACCACCTACCGAGACGAAAACGGCTCAGTAAACGTCCTCAAGTTGCAGGCAAAGGTGAGTGACGATAATTCTTATTTTGTATATTTTATAATTACATACCTTCTTGTTGTATACGTTGAGTGTAAGCTGATCATACCCTTTAGGGTTGTGGGCACCCACTGCACGTGCCGCTAAGAGAGTAGCCCTACCTTGGTCACTCTGTTACTCCCTGTCAGGGCCTACCTTGCGTCACTTTACCTCTCCTGTCGTCCTTGGTTCGCACGTCTTGGTGGCGTCTGCTACTGCTTCTGGTTCCGTGCCTTTATGTTAGCCAAAAATCAGTCTGCCGATAATGAGAGAAACCGTGGTTGGCCGCTCCAGTCCTCTCCCTGCTTTGCGGAGAATTCCTAAAGTCCTTTTTCGCTCCTATTTCGGTTTTAACCGGGACTGGGCGGTATTCTCGGCGGCGGGAGGGAAGTCAGCTTTCTCTAAAAGCAAGAGCTACCAAAATAAGCCACTTTCCACCGCGAAAGGCGCGACCCCTCAACCAACACGCCGGTGCGACTTTGCGAATCGCTTCCTCTTGCCAACCAGTACCGTAGAATTTGATATTTCGTTAAAGCCACGCTGAGAGAACTTACTGTTCTAGTATGCCATCAGGTGGTTTCCAGAAGCAACGTTTCGAGGGTTCTCTCAACTTACATATGTATGATTATGAGTTTAAGGCTGCTGATAATTGCTAACTGTTCATCGCAAATATAAGTCCTTTCTATCCACGAGCAGCACAGGAACTGTCCTTTCGCTTCTATAAGAGAGGGGATCTCGCTGTATGTGAGGGTACTCAAAACAATACTTGGCATACATTCTAGCAAATACAGTTATATGCCAGGAGTAAGAGAACGTAGGAAACGGGCTGTTCCTGAGTGTGCAATATTTTAGTGACACTAATTAACTACGAACTTCAACTTGAACTCCGAAATCCCATGAATTTTTTCCTTGCTTGAAGCTTCTTCAGTACGTGGTATCTTTTTGCACCTTTGTGATCACAATTTATATGGCATTCATCTTTAGCGCTGGTGCCGTATGATGTTGTTAGGCGCCAAATTTGCGTATGTCCTTCTCCAGCCTCAGCAATTGAGGATAAACAGTAATCATGATAACAGGACAAATGAATGAATGTTGTCGTGTTCGGGACCTCCAGTTACCTCTGTGTGCAATTTATAGCGATTTTAGCGAATAAGACCAAGCTATCAAACAGTGCCTTTGTTGAAGTAACGTACAGCCTCCGCGAAGACGCGCGACGACGCGCTGCCACGCGCTACAATTTTGAAAGCGCTTAAAGGCTAGAAGAGAACGCAGCCGTAGACGGGAATTCATTGGTGCGGTTCATTTGTGCATTGAGAGAGAATCGGGGAAGAGGATGGTGCGTTTGTGCCTAATACGCAGCCTTAGCATCGCATGCCGTCACTGGGCGCCTGATCTTTGATGAATATATTAGGTGAAGGTGAGCGTAAAATATGTAAAGCATTCTGTCCTGCTTCCTGCCTCCCCAAACCCCTATCTCGTCTCATATGCAGAAAGCCCTCTGGAATATCGATTCCCGTCTTACGGCTGCCGTTCTGCGTTTTATGCTATGGAGCGTTGCTGCAATTACAGCGCGTCATCGCTAACTCGTAACACTTCCTAGAGCAAGCTTTTTATGCCTAAGACCGCGTTCAGACTTCGCGACGGTAGCGTTCCGGTTGCGCATTCAGCGCGTTCTGAATGCGCTACTTCGACTGCATTTGATCACGCCGAACGTGCCGCTCGCGTCGGGGAAGTCCTGAATGCTGTCTCCCTAAATTAGGATCTCTCCATCACGCCTTGATGTAATGTTTCAAAGGAAATGAACGAGTGTTGGCCCGCCAACTGTGATTTTATTATTTGTGATCGATAGGTCCTTGTATTATTCCTATCAGGCCCTTAGGCTTTATTTCTAAGCAAATATAGATCAGATAGATTTCGGAGCAGGTAGCAGTAGTTTCCCTCGAAACTTTCCTATACTGACTAGAGATAAGAGGCTTTAAAAAAAAGACTTTTTGGGTACCATTAAATTCTTATTATGTTATGAAATCAAAAATTACTCGAAATAGCCGAAGATATATCAAAAGCTTTTTCATGACGGCTCTTTCCTCATTAAGAATGCCGCTGTTTTCATATTTTATTATTTATTTATTGTCTCATTGACCACAAGACTTGTGCATTCACATGAAACAGTAAATGCTGTTTTGCAAAATCAAAAAAAAAAACCAATCATCACCTGACAAGATTTTGAAGAAACATTGAAAAGATAAACAAAAATTAAAGCTCTGAACTACACATATTATTGACTAATTCGATAAGTGATGCACGTAGATGGTGTGCAGTGACTAGTGACTCCGTCGTACATGGTTTTAGGGATGAAATTCGAATAGTACCCCGTTGGCGCGTTACTTCTGCCTGGGTCTAGTAAATATTGCCCACACTATTGGGTAAAAGAACGATAAGTCGGTCGGTCAACCACTTCACTCCGTGTAGCTCATTTCAAAATGCCACTGCCGATTCTGTAATGGGAGATGGAAAAATGTGAGCTCCTCTGAAGAAGCCGAAAATTATTTGTTTTATTTTGTTTATTTTTAGGATAGCGATATCACGCACACATTAATAGAAGATAAAGATTTCTCCGGTGTTTTCCTTCCTGGTTACTCGTCTGTAGACGACTTCCCGTTGTGTGCTTGCTTGTGAGTACAAGTTTACCTTTTTAAATTTTGCTCAACCATTATTTTTGAGAGTAGCTGCGATTCACGGATAGCTTGCAGAAAAGATATTCCGGTTGTACTGCTGGACCATGTTGTACAGAACTATCCAGTGAATACGATAGAAGATGCTGCCGATTGGTACAACCGAAGTATGGCGTTACAACGGTTCTGGTAAGCAACTTTTGGATCTATGCACTACATCTGTGGGTGCATTTCGCCTAGGAGGAGGACGAAGGGGGAGGTTGGCATTTACAGGACTCTCTATTCAAAAGTTGGCATACTGTAGCGCGAATTCCTTCTTCACGCAAAGATTTGATTCACCTACATCCGCAGATATTTTTTTATTTAAAGCATGAGGAACCCTAACTTCCTCCCATGTAGCACGGTCTCTGCACTAGGAGTTCCCTGAATGCCACCCTTCCCCCCCCCAAGGCGAAGAGTGCCCACCCTGTGGTCTGGAATGTTTACACTCGGCTAATTTCAGGTCCATTGACGACAAAATTACAACATCTGAGTTTTCAGCTATGAAAGCATGGCTGATTACCAATGATGATCAGAAGGTGCAAATGACACTGGCAGAAGCAGTACCTGGTCGAAAAGGAAGGAGTCAAATAGAGGTCTGGAATAAACCACATCATATCTACTACTAATAGTTCACCTCTGAATTTGTTTGTTGATTAAGGAATTCGTCTCCTATAATGGTGGTCCCGGTATCCAACATATAGCGCTACTCGTTGATGACATTGTCAGTACCGTAACAGAAATGAAGAAAAGGTTTGGCTTCTAAATCCAGGACACAGTCCGCGATTACTCGACGTGCAGAAGCCTTTTTTGCACGAGGTGGCGCATTCCGTCATTGCACAAGACGTTCCTTATTTGGGGCTCGAAAGAGGCACGGCTCTGTCACGATGAGCATTCTCCGCCCTTGTGGTCATGCTCCACCTTTATCTCTTTTCATTGCAGCAGTGCCATATAGCGATGAGGTCTCAACAGTTGTTGTACTCTCTCGCCACACCATGGTGTCTTCCCTTTTCCTGCGCTCTCTTGGTCGTATGCTCATCTAGGCTTAGAACGAAGAGGGATTTTAGTGCGTTCTCGTTGATTTTCTGCTTTTTCCTTTATTGTTAAGTCACTTGGCACCTTGAATTTCGCACGTGGACCCCCCTCCTCCTGCCCCCGAATGACAGTCGCGTATTCTATCTATACGTCTCTATATCTATACTATTTTGAACAAAGTCCCACAGTCTTTATTTCATGCTGTGCATTAAGATCCGTAGAATTCCTTGAAGTACCATCCGCATATTACGACATTCTTGAAGAACGGCTCAAAGATTCCAAGGTCGAGCTACGCGAGGACATGAAGAAGGTGTGGTTGGATTTACCCATTTAGGTTTGATTCTTAGACAGATTAAAATAACATGAATAATTTTTTCTTATCAAAAAGAGACTTTTGTTCTTTTCCCCTGCTTTTTTTTTCTAGAATTACTAAATAAGTACTTCTGTAATCCTATGTTTAGTTGCGAGAGCTCTGCATTTTGATGGATTTTGACGACAACGGCTACCTGCTGCAATTATTTACAAGGCCCGTTCAAGATCGACCAACCCTTTTCATTGAAATCATCCAAAGGCGGAATTTCAATGTGAGTTTTCGTTCTTCCCGACATTATAGAAGACGAGAATGTTTGAAGAAGTCGTTACAGAATCATTTTCCCTGTAGGTTCCCCTTCCTCCTAAGATTGTGGAGCATGCACTTGAAGTATTCATGGCTGCCATCATTTAGTTGGATCATAAGAATAAATGGCGGTAAATGGTTTTCGTGAGGCAGGCAGAACCAACCAGGGCACATCGTTGCTGGGAATTTCCCAACAGTAGGGGGGGGATGTTTTTGGTCGCTGAGAGAGGGGGAGTGACAACAGGTCGTTTTGGGAGGGGGCTCGTGTTTCCCTTCTGGGAGAGGTTGCTAGCTTCGTGGTTTTCCTGTTTCATGTGTACTATATACCCCTCCCCAGCACGACTTTGAGAAAAAAACTAGGAAAATTTAGCCCGTAAATGTGGTAGGAAGTGCGGAAAATCTAAGTACAGAAGGGGAACCCCACCCCCACAGATGAGGAGGGAACCGGGGGGGGACGTATGGCCGTACCAACCCCCTAAAAGAGGGGGGAGGTCGGGAGGAGTGTCGACGGACTCGACCAAAATCCTCAACCAATGATGTGCCCTGGAACCAACCTACTAGGCATGTGTGGTAAACTCTCTCAGTCAAATTTGTATATTCAGTACCCGTCCACAAATACATGTATAGGTGTCGTACGAGAGACAACAGAGGAGGTAATCGAGTTGAACGACCAACTTTCTCACCCCCGAGACCTTTCATATCTACGTGATAGGCATCCACTGGATTTTCTTTTTCAGTTTTTAAGCCATGTGTTTTTCATTTTGGATCTGATCACGCGTCTCCTCCTCTCCGTCTAGGAGTTTATTCCTGCGATCACGTTAAGCGTTTCAGGGATTCGGAGCAGGCAACTTCAAGGCACTTTTCGATGCTGTAGAAAGAGAGCAAATGCGAAGAGGAACTCTATATGTGGAGGACTAGTCTTTGAACGAAGTACACTACTGAATGATCTCTCCATTTTAAAACCAAATAAATCGTAATTTATCTTCAGATGTCAGTATCAGTAGTCCCGGGAGGCTGAGAGACTACTGAAGTATGAGATTTTGGCCCCATGCCCCCTCGTCCTTGATCTTGACGAAGAAATGCTGATGTACGTCCCGTCTCTTACGTTCTCTTGACGCGTTCTGCTCGTTCTAGTCTCTGGTGGGGGTCACTGCAGACGGTTTGCAGCGAAAATGAGCTGTTGGATGGCTACTGTCAACGGCACTATGTGTGTTGAAGGGCAGGAGGGATGCACTGGATTTTAGACTCTTTTTTGTCCCAGGAACCCTCGACGTGCCACATAAACGATAGCTGCCGGACTGCGGAAAATGCCTCACTACGTGCGCATGTTAGGATGGGTCACAAAATACTGTTCATCGACATATGGGTATGTGGCAAGAGAATCGTAATTCGCCGCGCCAGTGGGCGTCGCGTGCGACGTCGCGCCCGCTAATGACGACGATTTTAGGTGGTATTGGTCGAGAATAGACAATGTATGACCAAAAATAGACATAAGTGTCTACCATGTCCTTGTCTACATGAAATCCGATGCTCCAATCGAAAGGGTAGTGCAAATTAAGGAAACGTCGCGCCCATTGCCGCGCGCGACGAAGCGGCAATTTACGATTCTCTTGCCTGTTTCCCTCGACATATAGCCTTGTTGGCTAAGGATGCTGGGGCGCACCAATGGGGGAGGGAGGGGAAGGCTGGGTTTGGCACAGCGCCAGCACGTACTCCACCAATTGCTGTAGGGGGCAAGCGACAACAGAAAGCGAGGATCGGGCCAGCGGAGCGGCACTGACGAGCCTTATTGTTAGCAACCGCACCAAATACGGATGTACAGCCGTTACGCCTGGGACGCAGTTGTCGTGACTGCGTACTTCATTTGAACATCGCCTAGTATGGCTCACTCGTGTAATATCTCAATTTGATACGACTGCCATCTTGTCGTGTGTTGGCCACTATTGTAATAACCCCAAAATGAAAGTAGAGCACCAAATGTGTACTGCCGGGACGTTCAAATGAAGTCGCTAACCAAACTACCGCATTTCTTATCACACACCTGCTAATATCCAAATAACAGCATAGTTGTGTGATGGTCCTACGAGATCGCAGACCCTGATGTCTCAGGTCCCCCTTTTCGTTCGCCATTAGCTGGATCGCGATTGAACTTCTTCACAGGTAAGTTGTCAGCAGATCCCAGTATTGACATCTACTTCGCGTTCTGGAGTAAGTAACAGGATCTCGCTGAGCATCCCATTGCCTTCTCGAGGAGGAGCACAACCTGCTCAAGCTGTCAGTCATTCTTTTCCCAGCGAAAAACTCAGTCCATTTGCAAATTATGCTATCGTTCTTCCTCAATCTTTCACAGATATTTGTGACGTTACAGTGTATTTCTATACAAATGAAATTAAATAAATTGATCTAAGAGCTTCGAATACATACGAAATCTCCCTTGTACGCATCAGACACACCATTGGCTACAGCAGCCATTTTGTGGCTTTTTATAATCAACACGTTCACCAGCGGAAAAGGACCATTACGCATGCCCGACCATGTTCTGCTGGCATATCCTAATATTTGACCTCTTGTATTCAATTTCTTATTCGGAAGAAATTCCTGAATGATGACAAACGTGATGATGTGATGATAGAAAATTTGTGATGATAGAACGAGAGGCGACATAGTACCGTCAAAACAATCGCTTCGAAGTCTGACCTTGCCCATGTCAGTTCACATAATACTGATATGATCGGGATCCAAACGTGACCAAATGTCAAATACGGCTGTCGCTGCTCCTGTATACAGTTTTGTTCGTTGCTGATGCAGGGGCGTGTTAGAGGGCTGGGCTTAGCACGGCACCAGTCCGTTCTCCACCAATTGCGAAAGAGAGGGCAAACGAAAACATTTGGTGGAAAACGAGCCGACACCTCGCGGGCCCAACCTCTCTCCCTCCCTTGACATGCCCCACGATCCGTAGCTAGCGAGGCTGAAACCTAAATTTTTCTCTCTGGGGTACAACCCCTCCCGTACACATCAGAAACGACAGAAATGCGTGAACAGATCATTGCCCGTTGTCGTAGGGGCGGAACTGGGCCCCACTAATGTTCCTTCTTCATTTTCCCGCCCTTCTTTCCCTTCCTTTTAATAGGCGCCAATAGCGAAGGCAGAATGTTGTCCCGACTCCGCCCCAGGTTCATATCGAAGATCATTTCATCTATAATTGCCAGCCATCAGCCTATGTTCTACATGATGTTCAAGAAATAATTTTTATTGAATCAAGAATTCCATAATCATACCATTTATGAATGACAAAATACCATACAATAATATATAATATCTCATATGTGTACAATTGGGAATGTAGACAGTATTGGTCATTATGATATATCTACACGTCATATGCACATTATATAACCATGAGTATCATTGTAAAATTTCACTGAAGAAGACGAGAGTTCTAGTCCTCTCAAGTGATCAGTAAAAGTAGAAGCTGTAGGATCTATGGGCACTTCTACGTGGACTTTTCAAATATTTGTATGACGTATGGCACTGGAAATGAGTTTCGGGACCACAAGGTCCAGAACGGAGACTCTTGGGATGAATCAACTATAGATGTCAGGTACGAGGGTACCAGCTTGAAGGGCACTTCGTTGAGACTGAAACAGTAAGGTTTAGATCAGTGCTGCTGCGATGTTGAACAGACCAATAGAATTGACGTGTCAAAGGGTTCATCCAATAGGAGAGCTTCTGTCTTCCTAAGGGTGAGCGCAGTTTCAACTACTGAATTTCGGAGAATTTCTACTTCCACACTCACTATGCACTCAGACCGCACCGCATACGGACATTTTCGTGCAGTCGCCAAGTCTGAGGCTGAGGGGGGGCTGCGTTCCCGAATAACATAGCTGCAAGCACAGCGCGACGCTTCATGCGTGACCAGTTAGTGTAGATACTTGTGGGCATGGAGGCAGTCGGCTAGTGAATATGTAGCGCGTGGCCGGTACACCCCTTCTTGATCTCTGATGTGGACTGTGTGAATACCATTGAATGGAATACTGTTCTATGGGTTCATTTTACGCTTGTCGTATGGGTGGGGCCAGACCCACATTTCCCATTACCACAGCCCTCCTCTCAAGCGCCTTAGAGAGGAGAGCGCACCAATGGCAAGGCGCAATGAAAGGTCCAGCTTCTCGCTCTGGAAGAGCGTGGAATGTTTCATCCAAATGAGCCCCGGGGCACGCTCCTGGGAAATGAGAAGTTAAATTACCTTATAATTTTCTGTGCTAGAACCATTTCAGCGGTCTGTCCAAGCCCTTGTGTTCGCGGTTATTTCTGGCACTGGTGTAACTGCATCTACCATTGGCCTCCACCAGTAGCGATCGTAGCGCTCATGTCGATTACTACCCTCCAGTTGTTGTCTGCCGTATACCCGATGAGCGGTACGGCATCTATCGCTTTTCGCTAAAAAGAGGCTTCCATTTAGGGGAGAAAACGTAGTACTTAAATAAGATTAAGAAGCGTACTACATACCTGAAGGTTTCGAATGGCTCCTTAGTTTCAGATGATTGGTGGATATCTCTGGCATCTTCCTTTGTCAAATTGGAAATCTCATATCCATATGGTAGTGCACATTCGACCTTAAATTCAAAACATTTTAGTTAAAGACGAAGCTTGTTTCTGTGGTTTACTGGGAATTAGCACTAGTTACTCCTTTAGCCGCTCCCCGATGGACAAATCACAGTACCAGTAAGTAAACAATTACAATTAGCAACAGACGCTGATTTAGGATCGCTTACGTTTTTGAGCAGGAGGGAGCTTCTCCCATCTGATCAGGTGCTCATGTAAAAAAGCGTAATGGCTCTCGCGAAGTCGAGGCTGCGACTTTTGATTGAATAAGATACGTGGGCAATCTGTGAAACGAAGTATTATGTGTGAAATTCTCCATATATCTAAGTAACTGATTTCTGAAACATATTCATTTCCGTAGATATACACACACCACTGCAACTAAGGGCTTTGCGAAAAGTTCGCTCTTAAGGGGGCATCAATGGCGGTTGATTTGAATGAATCGCGATCGCGCATGGGCGGAGTCAGGCCCACTACTGCGCCTTGCTCACTGAAACTGATGTCCTTCTAGGCCGGTGAGGAGGAGGGGCAGGTCAGTGAGAAAGGCTAAATTATAGACGCGATTCGACTCGAACGACCTTCGTGTAGTGTGCCTTTAAGTTCGATTTGACTTGTGCTGTGGTCAAAAAGTGAATCGAAGAAATAAAGAGTTTTCAAAAAACAGGTGAGATATGTGGTCCATCATCTATGGTTGAGAAGAACGCACCCGTCATTGGTGAACTGCTCACGACAACCAATTAGAAGCGCTTTCCCTAATTGGAACGCCCATGTGGATTGCGTAGAACTTCCGTCACATATGTAAGTTCTACCATAAACCTACGCCGGCGCTGACTACCTTGAGGGAGAAGGAGGGTGGAGGGGTGGGGAGAAGCAAAAGAGCTCTTTGTGCAAGTCCCATTTACCGTAATGGAGCTAAGAACGTTAGCCTAAGCCTGAAGACGGAAAGTAGCTCCGGGGTGGATGAATCGATTTTGCGTTCGGGAATCCTATTCCGATGACCCGAATCCCAGTTCTGCCCAAGATGTGCTTCGAATGGACCCCCCCCCCTTCAAGGCTATTAGCGTCTGCACTCTTACCCTGTTCGGTCAGACGACAATGGAAATGGCGCCATTTAATGCCCGAAATAAAACCCTTTCTTCGCATAGCAGCTGTTTCCTGTTTTCATTTTACTTACAAAATAGTGTAACATAAATCGACGGTTTTGAATGGCACGATCATCCACAATCCTCCCGTAGTAGTCACGTGGTGCGTAAAATACAACAGAAAAATAAGCGTGTCATATATTTGTGTAACAAAACCTGTATGACCGTTGAAGCCTTAGCACTCAACGATTACACACTATTTTCGTTACCGTATCATATGATCATCGTCTCAAAAGTCCAAAGCGCACTTTACGAATGGCAGCCGTGGACAATGAATCAGCATGAAACTTCTCACTAGTAGCGCACGGATGACGTCATTTGGGCACTTCTATCTGTGATACTCGCACTTTTGCCGAAGAATGAGCTCTAACGTGGCAAACCTCTTCGAAAAAAAGGGGGAGTTGCTGAAAGCTTCAGTAACGGACCGAGTGCTCAGAGTGGGGACCTCACTGGAAGGTTTGTTTTTTAGCAAATATTTGGAACGATTTCGATTTTAGTACTGATCGATAACGTACCTCGTGCATGAGATGAGCTTCAGTGCCGAACTCGATTGGAAAATCATTT